GGGTCAATGCATGTGTTACATAGTCATTCTTCCCTGTGTGCATGAAGGGTGGCAAGGCTCCAAGACCTTCTCTGCCATGATTTCCAACACTGGAATTAGAAATAATCAAGTTCTGCATGGGATCAGTTCCACCTGCACCCATGGACTGTCAATGTGTGATGTTAAGGCCTGCCCTGCTTTTATCTTAACTCAAGGTGTGGGTCCTTGTTTCCTCTGCTCCTTTGCTTTCTTTGATGTTTCAGTGCTCTGAATCCCAGCTGGCCCAGTGCAAGTGATCCCTGGCCTCAGGGTGGATTCTTCAGTGGGTATTTTTGCCTGTTTGGGGGAAATTGAGCACTATGAGTCACAGCAGAGTTCCCGAAATAAGAAGGAGAGATAAGATTTTCTGGCTCCTGGGGTTCCACTCCAGACAGAGTGGAGACTGTCTGAGGCAGCCTTGCAAAATTCCAGCGCCTTGGTAGCAGTTGCACTGCCTACCTTATTCACACTTAATGAGACACAGAGGCTAAGAAGGGATGAGTATGTGTTTGGAAATTATCTTTGCTTCCCATCTAGACCTCGGGGAAAACTTGTGCCTCAAACCTTTTGTCTCTGAATTTTTGAAGAATTAGCGTTTAAAGCTCCTCTCCAAACAGGAAACACCTTCTCTACTGGCACCAGAACTCCTTTTCCCCTCAAGGCTGGCTAAAGCTCTTATTTTTCCTCTTCTAGTGAGCGTCACAGTGGGTGAAGCTGGACACTTTTCCATTACTTCAAAATTTCAAGTGGCTCTACAGCTCTTGGCCATGGAATAAATGTCTGTTATACAAAACATTTTGACATAAGTAGTGATCAAGTGTTTTAATTTAGGAATGAGGAATACACCTTCTAGGAGAGAGATGGAACTGGATTACTCAGAGGTACTTAATGCTCTATTTTTTTGTCTGTTGACATAACAGAATCATTAACATTTTAAAAAAGGAAGACTTACAAATATGTAAATGCAGATGTAATCTTACCGTGCAGGTAAAGAAAAAGTCTTTTCTAAAGACGTGGAAAATGAATCTTTGCCTTTTTTTATACGTACAAATAGATGTCTATATATTCTGCTTATCTGAGATCCCACTGTATTTGTCTTGGATTTGTGATTTCTGCAAGTTCAACAGAGAACTTTAGATAATGCAAAATAATTTGCATTGCATTGAATTTCCGTAAGCTACTGATAAAGATACTGAAAAATGTTTTTCAAACCAAGACTTGAAATTTCCAACAGAAAGGTAGACTCTACAAAACTCCTGTTTTAGCATTTCATGGTTTCTTTGGAAAATTTTCCTTTGAAACTTTGTCACTACAAATCAAGCCACCGCTACTTGTTATGCACCAGCTGGACATAAAACATTGTTGATCACATGCCTCCTAAGTACTCTGGAATAACTTTTAGGGTTTAGAAGGTGGTAGAGATTTCTTTCCTCCATCACCCTTTTGTACAGTGGGGTGAGAATAAAATAGTTCTCTTGGACAGAGAGTGATCTTTGAAAAACTGCCCTTTGAGTAGTGATTCCATCTCTTATATGCTCATTTTATGGTGATTTCAGCTAAGCATTGTTGCACTTGTTTCCTCATAAGAATGTCTCATGGGACATTATTAAAAGTCTTAATTATAGCAAACCATAGTCCACTATTGTTTCTTTGTTCCTGACTCAACCTAGACCACAAACTTGATTGATCTGCCAGGAAGAGATCAATTCTATCAGTGTCAGCTGTTCTGAACAGCTTAGCAGCTGCCTGCTGATTTTTCAATTGTTTTCTTTAACATTTTTTCAGTGTTATTCTGGTATTTTTGTAGGAGCTCACGTGGAAGGCCCGGCTTCTAATTACCTTGATCTTCCTTTCCTAGACACAGAAAGGCAATATTTGCTTTTTGCCAGCCCTCTGACACCTTTTCCCATACTCCCAAAGGTAATTACTGGGGTTTGGATCCTTAAACAGTAGCTTGATTGCCTGTAACTAATATAAAGAGTCTTCACTCCAGTCTTTCCTACTCTGACCTGTTCTCTTTTCCTGGTGCATAACACTTTTGCAGTGAGTATCTATCAACTTTTCTCTGTATAAAAGAAATGCCATTTGACATATCCTCTGTCCATTGCTGTCCTTTAAATAGCAGACCCCACTGGGGTTTGTTGTTTTTACTCCTAATATGTTTACATAGCCTTTTCTTACCTTCTCTATCTCATAGTGGCCTGCTAAGGAAACCCTCCAACTAGAAAATCAGTTGCTATTAGATAATCCCTGTTAGGCACCTCTGTTTGTAAGGGAAAAGAGGTGATCTGGAGTATTCCCATTCACTTGTAAAAAGCTGGGCTTTCACTTGTGGGAATGAAAGCCCGGAGTGTATAAGAAAAATAAGTGTTCAGCATTTCTAAAAATTTGCCTAAAGTTTAGAGTCTCCTGTTTTTCTGGCAGAGAGGAATTGTATTAATTTTAAGGAACTATGTCTGTGCCCATGTAGTGTAAGAGGAGAGTGGACAACTTCCCAGTTCTGTACAGCACCAGAAAGGAGGCTCTTATGTTCCCAAATCAAGTGGCAAAAGAGGAAAAAAGCATGAATGTGAAATAACTGTGGGAAGAGAACAAACCAGTAACATGGAAACCAGCTAAGGGGCAGGCTGCATGGCATTGCTAGCTTGATTATCTACAGCTCAACCTAAGTAACTGCATCACAGGTATTTTTCCTGAAATACGTATATAACTTAGGCCATATTTCCAATATGAACTTTAGCTTGGAGGAATCCCAGTCTTCCTGAGCAATGGGGTTGAAATTTTAAGTGCTTTTGACTTCATAAAGAGGTTCTAACTTCTGTTGTGTTTTGGAAAATGCTTTTCAGGCTTTTTTTGTTTTCCCCTTTGAAAATTTTGCATGCGTTCATCTTCCATGATATTACAAGGAAATAAAAATGTAATCAGTGAATGGCAGAATTCCCTGGGAAAAACCAAAAAGAGCCCCCTCTCAGTGTATAAGGGAATACTGCCAACAAAAAGAGTCAGTCTTTTTTTAGTCTGGAATTTTTACAAGCGTATTGCTTTTAGGCTTTGGTGTTTTGTTATTTTTTGGGGAGGGTTCTTTATCTGCTGCAGACAGGAGGTCTCAGACAGCCCACGTGAAGGAAGACTATTGTAAATTCTGAAATATTCTCTTCCTTCCTCCGGAGATTCCATTGACAAAGCAATTCTGCTAAAGTTTTCCCGCTTGGCTTCAGAGCTTCTGCCATGACAAGGATGAGCACTTACCAGTAGGAAGCTCATTAAATGATTTGGAAAAGGGAATATCCAGGAAAAAAAAAAGTAGGGTTTTCTGGCTCCTGAGAGGGTAAAAACTGTTCTGGAGTTGCCTGTAATTTTTTTTTTTATAATATCTATAATTATAACAGCTGATCAATGTTTTAGAAAATAAAAAAAGCATGCCCTATCAAGACTCATTAACATTAGTCTGTGTTACAGTAATGTTTACAGAACCCCTGGGAAATTATGCCCTGCTGCACAAGGTACTGTACAGGTGCTTTAAAAGCACCAGCTCCTGTTTTCTTCAGGTGGTAAACCTTCCTAATAGAGAAGGGTTGGCAAACTGGGAGTGTTTTCATTCCCAATTTACAGCAGAGGCTAAAGATGTAGCAGTCCTGACCTGATGCTGCCTGGAAACCTCTGGAAGTCTGGTTCTTCTAAGCAAAGCTGGCCCAGGCCAGCCAAGAGCTAACCTCAGCTTTCCAGAGTTTCCTGATGGTCAGTTTGTGTTTCTAGCTTTGCTGGTTCACACCTGCTAGGAAGTGTTCCTCTCCCTACAAATATGCAGTATGGTGGTTTTAATCCTCACACGCTTCAGTAACTGACTTTGACTTGCTTTCTAGATCTTTTTTTTTGCAAATTCCATATTTTGTTAATAACTGAGGCTGTTTTAGAATATACTCTTTATTCTATGCTCTTTTTTGAGGTGGATTCCTTTGATGGGCAGAGATCTATTAAGATGTGGCTAGGTGACAAATTTTTTTTTGTGAAAAAATTGGGAATTGGTCCCAATTGAGATGTTAGCTTGGAATCCAGGAGTCACTGTTGGTTTTTTTGTAAGACAAGACTGAGGCTCCAAAATAAGAGCTCCAACATGCACTGTATAAACTATAACTATGCTTTACAGATATGAAGTGGGTGCTACCCTGTGCCCTCCTATAGCTGACAACCCTTGTTGAGTCCTTTGCGTGTTGAGCCTCATTAAACCTCATCCATAATGGTGAAGCTTTATGCAGTAGTGTAATTAATCAGTGTATAGACAATAAATGTGCATGAATTCAGTGTATTGTCTTGTCCACCTGAAATATTATGTGCACCTGTTCAGGAATTGTAACTCTATTGAGATCAGGATATTGGAGCATATAGTCCAAGTGAAATCCATATTCCAAGCTTGACTGCTACAAGTGACTGATGAACCTGTGTTGTGAGCAGGACTGTAGAAGAGAATTAGCAATCCTGGGACTGGCAAACCTTCCCACAGATGAGAGCTCTGCACACCGTGCTGTCCACAGGGAAGGGCTTGTCCAGTGCTGCAGTTCATCTTTTACTCAAACTTAGTTAACCAGCTTTGAGCATTGGTGCCTTTCCTACTGAGATACCTGAAGAACTGGCACCTCCTTGGTGCAAAACACTGTGCCAGGTGAAAGACTGGAATCTGCTTATTCATGCAGCCAACTCGAACTGTCTTCCTCCTCCTTGATATCCTGGAATTGTGTGTTTCTGTCAGTAAGAGCATGTAAAGTGTGGCACTTGGCAGCTTGTCAGCACAGTGTGTCTTTCCTGGAGGGTTGATTTGTCAGGAGAAAAGACATCCGTTTTAATGTGAGGGGAGGGCCAGATCCTGGGATTTTCCAAGATATTTTTTTCCAAACGTCTTTCCTGTCTCGTGCAGGAGTGGCTAGTTGAGGGAATAAAAGGCAGGGGATTACAGAGTCGAGGCACTTGGAGCTGAACTTGATCTTCAAGTCCGAGTTCATCAACTTAGCCACGGAAAGGAGCCACTGAGAAATATTGCAGAGGAACTTCTGCCACGGGGACTCTGCAGCTGCGACCTGTGAGTAGAAATGCTCTGTGCTGTTCTGTTTAACTGCTCAGCTAAAAGAGAGCTGGACAGCTGCAATTCTGTGTTCTTTAAAGCTGTTCACTTTTAAAAGATATCTTGATACGAAGAACTGTTTTAAAATGAATAATTTCCAAAAAAAATTGAAAGTTTATTTAAGTTTTTAGAATAATTGTTTCAAAGCATGTAGAAAAAAATTGCATAGGCAGTATTTTATATTGAATTGTAACAGGTCAGTGTCTGTTCTTTACAAATGTGTTTCTTTGGTCTCTCAGAGCCATCTGCTTTAAAAGATAAAGAAGAGAAAACACTCAAACATGGTTTGCTTGTGGTTCCTATCTCTTCTTACTTATGGTAAGTGTGTATTGCTCCATGTAGAAAAGTATTTGGATGGTAATATTAATGTGACTGTTCTGTTTGAGCTCAGCATTAAAAGAACTTTTGAACCTGCCCTAACTAACCTGAGCCTGGGTTCACACAGAAGCACCTCTAGCTGCAATGGCACGTTTCCCTGCTTGCCTGTCAAATCCATACTTGGCTCCTCTAGCCTGCTGTGAAGTCCCAAAGCTTTCTGTGGCCAGACATAGTTTCACAGGCTGAAGTCCCTGTACTTGGATCTGACAAGCCTGGTTTGAAACTTGCCAGTTGATTATTTATAAAATAATTGCCATTGATTTTTATGCAGTTTCAGATATTGACAAGGTTGCAATATTTATAGAGCTTTATTTATCCTTTTCTAGAGAGAGAGGAGGGGAAAAGTCAGACACCAACTTTTGGACATCTTTTCATTCTAGGACTTACAGTGCTGCAGGGGGTGAATGGTTGGACATACCATTATTCAGACAGAAACATGACCTACAGGGAAGCAGAGGAGTGGTGCAAAAAGAGGTATACTAACATGGTTGCCATTCAGAATAAGGAGGAAATCAACTATCTCAATAACTTCTTACCCTATAATCCGGGTTACTACTGGATTGGAATCAGAAAAATTAATGATGTGTGGACCTGGGTTGGAACTAACAAAGAACTGACAGAAGAAGCGAGAAACTGGGCTTCAGGTGAGCCAAATGGCAAAGGGAACAACGAGGACTGTGTGGAAATCTACATCAAAAGAGGGAAGGATGATGGCAAATGGAATGATGAACAGTGTGAGAAAAAGAAGGTCGCCTTGTGCTACACAGGTATGGAGTGATTAAGGTCATTCTAGTGTGTCCCTGTGGAGGTGAGATGATGGGTGGGATGAGTTGTTTAGTCTTACATATTAGCTACCTGACCCTGTAAGCACTTGTACACTTATGCTTGCTTTCAGGGTAGAGGTTGTCCTTGTTCTAAGACTTAGATTTATTGTTCCTTTTGCATTTTAAATATTGCTAATATCTACCTGAGAACAAGTGGTCTTGGGAGTTTCCAGCCAGTAGAATCCTTTCACTGTGAACTAGTCTGTCAAAAGTGTGGATTTCAGAATCCTTTCCGTGAAATTACAGGATAATCTTAAGTACCAAACCCTATGATTTTGTTTTGCTATACAAAGGGCTTGGTTAGTGTCAGAAAGATAAACAAATTGCTAGCCACGTTTCCTTAGTGGCCATCGTTGATTCCTTTATAATTTGCTGTATTATTTTTTTCAGCTTCTTGCAACCCATCTCTCTGCAGTGGCCGTGGAGAATGTATAGAGACTATTAACAGTCACACCTGCCATTGTAACCCTGGGTTCTATGGCCCTGAATGCGAGTTTGGTAAGATTATTTCATCCTGCTTTTTGACCAGCCCATGCTGGCTGGTGTTCATTTTAGCTTGTTGGTTTAGCTGCTCATGCCCCTGACTGTGTACCTTCTTGTGCTTCTCTGAAGTTGAGAGTTGTGATCCACTGAGGAAACCTGAGCACGGGAGCCTCGAGTGCAACCATCCATTGGGGAACTTCAGCTACAACTCATCCTGCACAGTTCAGTGTGAGGAAGGCTATGAACTGACTGCACTGGAATCTGTACACTGCACCTCCTCTGGGGTCTGGTCTGCCCCCCTTGCAGCATGCAAAGGTGAGCTTTCTGCATTATACACAGCTCTGTAAACTTGTTTCTCTGCCAGTACATAAAAATTGAACTCTTGCCAATTCCTTTGGAACTAATTACATGGTGTGGGTGCTGTTTTGTTTCACTACACGGGTCTCTGTTCCTGAAGGGATGAAATGGGCAGGATGAATGTTTTGGCCCTGGCCAAAAACATCTTTCCCTGCTTGTAGGGAAAGATTTTTCCACCTCTTGGGTGGGAACAGGGAGTGGAAATGACCAACCTGTGAGACTGCTCATAACAGGCTAGTTACACCTGACTGTAGGAATTATTTTTTGAGGTTCTTGGCTTAGAATAAGCTACAGTTTGAAGCAAATAAAAGCATCAAACATCACCCAACAGGAATCAAAATCAAGTTGCTGTTATGAGCTGTGAATGAATTTACAGTCTTGCCTTAAGATTCAGTTTTCCATTTTGAGATATTGCCCCTCCTGTCTGTTTTCTGAAATGGCAGCATAGTAAATCTCCTTTCTAAAGCTGCTCCCGTTTAGTGGGTATGTTGATAAGTTTCAGAAAATAAAAAAATTTGATTTGTTACAAGCTAAGCTCTGTGCTGTCTCTTGTACTCTTCAGCTGTGACCTGTCCTGCCTTGGAGATGCCTGCCCACGGTGCTGTGAACTGCTCCCATCCCTCTCTGGAGCTCACCTGGGGTACCATCTGCGAGTTCACCTGTGAGGAAGGCTTTACCCTGACAGGACCAGCCACACTGCAGTGTGGGTCTTCTGGGGCCTGGGACAGGCAGCAGCCATCCTGTGCAGGTACCTTTCCCTACCCCTGCTCACCTGAGCACTCAGGGCTGTCAGCTTTGGCATGTGGTTTTCCTGAGGCCTCTGTGCTGATTTCTGTTGATCTCCTTGTGTTACAGCTGTGAGGTGTGAGGCTGTAAGCTGGCCAGAAGAAGGGTCTGTGACCTGTGATCCTGCAGATCTCACCTATGGCTCACGCTGTGAGTTCCACTGCAATGAGGGCTACGTTGTGGATGGCCCATCCAGCACTGAGTGCACGGCACAGGGGCAGTGGTCAGAGCCAGTGCCAAGATGCAAAGGTGAGACTTACTGGGTTGGAAACCATCAAATAAGGCTTAGAGTAGATCAAGGAATCTGAAGAGACCTCCTCATTCAATGCAGTAGAGCACTTTTCATAAGCAGATCTCAAGGCGAGGTCACTTCACCTCTTGTATTAATGAGGAAACAGCAGTGCAGGGAGACAAACAACACTTGGGGACGGTGTCCCCAATACATAGAATAACAGGCTTTTGGAGTGGAGTGTTCTGACAGGAGCTCTTTATTCCCTAAACCCCAAGTGGGAGCCAGTGTCCATTTATGCAGTCCACTGTGGAGTATAATCTGGAGCCATTCCCAGGATAGCTGGTGTACATGTCTGGGGGCTCTGGCTGCACTGTGTAAGATGCTGAAATCACTGTTTCTGAGACACCACTAGGTCTGAAGGGAGGTGCTGTGGCTCTGTGGGGGACAGCTTCAAGCAGGGCATGTTCTTTTGTCAGCTCACAGGAGAGTGTTTATCTTGACCTACTCCAAACTAAGCTCTGTGCTGTCTCTTGTTCTCTTCAGCTATGACCTGTCCTGCCTTGGAAATGCCTGCCCATGGTGCTGTGAACTGCTCCCATCCCTCTCTGGAGCTCACCTGGGGTACCATCTGCGAGTTCACCTGTGAGGAAGGCTTTACCCTGACAGGACCAGCCACACTACAGTGTGGGTCTTCTGGGGCCTGGGACAGGCAGCAGCCATCCTGTGCAGGTACCTTTCCCTACCCCTGCTCACCTGAGCACTCAGGGCTGTCAGCTTTGGCATGTGGTTTTCCTGAGGCCTCTGTGCTGATTTCTGTTATCTCCTTGTGTTGCAGCTGTGAGGTGTGAGGCTGTAAGCTGGCCAGAAGAAGGGTCTGTGACCTGTGATCCTGCAGATCTCACCTATGGCTCACGCTGTGAGTTCCACTGCAATGAGGGCTACGTTGTGGATGGCCCATCCAGCACTGAGTGCACGGCACAGGGACAGTGGTCAGAGCCAGTGCCAAAATGCAAAGGTGAGGCTTACTGGGTTGGCAAATGGCAGTTTGCTGGTCACTGGGGAACACATTGAAATCCATATTCCTTTGGGGTCCTGGCTCCAGACTAAATTATGCTCCCATGTTTTCAGCTGTGAGTTGCCCTGCCTTAGAAATGCCTGCTCACAGTTCTGTGAGCTGCTCCCATGCCAAAGTCAAAAGAATTTGGAAATAAAGTGTACATCTGCCAATGCAAACAGTAGTGCCAAAGGCAGGAAATTCTTTAATGACTCTTAACCATTTCTTTCTGTGTTTCAGTTGTACAGTGTGAACCACTGAGCTCTCCTGAGAAAGGCTCTATGGATTGCTCACATGGTGCTGGGATGTTCACATACAACACCTCCTGCCACTTCAGCTGTCTTGAGGGATGGAATCTCAATGGCTCTCATATTCTGGAGTGCAGTCACTCAGGAGCCTGGAGTGCCAGCCTACCCACATGTGAAGGTATTTTACCCGTGACTAATCACAGAGAGGTGGCACTGGGTTTCTAGTTAGATGAGGTGGGGAGGGGTGGTGGTGGTAATACCAACCAGTGAGCTAGAACATCTAGTGAAGTCCATGAATTGAAGAAAATAGAGAAGGAGAAAAATACTAAAAGATCTTGATGAAAAATGTTGATTTCTTATCCAAAACCCAAAAGCTGCAACCTGATTTCAGGTTGTTTTGTTTGCTTTTTCATTAAAATATTTCTCATGTTGAGCTTTTTTCATATGAATAAAGACAAAGGCTTTTCTAGAGAAACGGAACCTTGTGGGAAACTCTGCAGTCATCTGTTTTTCTGTGGAAAAGTTTATAGGTTTTTTAATTTAGTGTGATAGTTTCTTGGATGAACTCCTCAGCCAAAAGACCTCGCAGAGCTTTTCTGTCAGGCTGCAGGTTCAAAGGACAGGAGGCTCAGCCTTGCCTTCTCATTCAAGGAAGTAAGAGCTCTGTCACTGTCCTCAGTGAGAACACCCTGAGCCTGCCTGAAATGCCTGAGGTCCTAAAACCTCAACTCCACTTACATTTGCTTGAGCAGAATTTAGATCCTTGAATAATTTCATTATCTCAACAGTACTGGTCAAAGAGGAAGATGGCACACAGGGAGTTAAAATATGAACTGAAACATGAAAAATAAAATGAGCACAAATTGCCATGTGAAGCTGGAGGTTAAAGAGACCCTGTTGTAGGAGCTTGTTGCCTTGCCATTGCTTTGCAAATGGGTGGGTTAATTTTTAGTATGCAGCTTTTTACCTTGTGTACAGGGTATGTCCTGTCTCGTCAAGAGAAAACTTAAGGGTTACAAGCTGCAATTCTGATTCCTCTTGAAGAGCACAAGAAAAGGGAAGAAGTAGTAGAGAGGGCTTCAAAAACCACACAGGCCTCTTGATCTCACTGAAACCATTTCATCCTTTCAGCTCCTGAGCTAGTCAGCTACGTCTCTGTGGGCATAGCAGCCACATCTGCCTCCCTGCTGTCCACGGCATCATTCCTCCTTTGGCTTGCAAAACGCTTCCGGAGAAAAGGTGAGCAGTTGATCCGGGGCCACTGTTTTTTATTTACCTTCCTGTAAAGTTTTCAGTGGAGAAAAAGGAATCAAAAAACCAAAAACTCCAAAGCCCTGTACCTTGCTTTTTGAAAAAGTGTTAATTCCCGTACTTTGACAAGTTCCAAATTTGTTTTCAAAGACCCACACGTGCCATGCCTGGCTTTTGGATGAACATCTGAAAAAGTGAAAAAATAGTAAAAAACAAATGTGTAGAAAACAAGAATTAGATGAAAAAAGCAGCACTTTATTTATTGGTAACTGCTTCCAGGGAAAGTGAATGAGAATTTGAGATGGGGCTAATGACACATTAATAACTGCCTGTGAGATTTATTGATAGATAATGACATTTTTTGAGATCTTCAGAGTTTTTTAATAGAAGAAAATGTTTGCATGAGGGGGCTTTTGTCTTGAAATCTAATACCTTTTCTTATTCTTCTTGCAGCAAAGAAATTTATTCCCTTCAGGTAAGTTGTGTCTCAAAAAGCTACATGAAAAACAGTGCCATCCCTTTGCTAAAATCCATTTGATATAAATCTGTTGTCATTAAAGTACTTTTCATTCTGTATTTTACAGTAACCAGCATGAAACAGCCACTGAAGGTATTTTCCAAAGTGCTGGCCAGAATGTCTAGCTCAGGTGTTTCAGGTAAGTGCATGAGAAGGCTGCACTCCCAAATTCTCTTCCTTTTTATCACACAAGCAATCAGAGCTGCTAATTGCTATACCATTGCTGAAACAGCAATATGTGCTTTGGGGTACCTAATATGCATCTTGGCATTGCATGGAAATTCCTAACAAGACTGATGGATTTATTGCATTAGAAATAGTTATTCAGCTCCTTAAGGATGATTGTGCTTGGGGTTCTGTCCAGCTGCATATAGTATTAGTAACATTTCTGTGCAGTTTTGCTACCTGCTGCATACAAAATTCCTCTGAAATGAGAGCAAATACAAATCTATGCCAATTTTCTGATTTATGGAGGAATTTTATTCTCTCTGCAGGAATGGAAGCCACCTTTGTCTCAGATTTCTGGAAAATGAAGCTGCATGCAAATCAGCAGCTGTCCAGATGTTTTTACCTCTTGCAATACAAAAGACCTTGTGTATTTGCTCAGAAATTTTGAGCTCAAGCTGTCGGGTATTTCCACTGAAGACAAGCAGAGAGTAAAACTCTGGCCTTCTGGCAAAATACTGTCTACATTCAGTCATGTAGTTATGATAACTGTGAGCTTGCCATGTCCTGTCCAGATGGTGAGCAAAGAGTGTGCTGCTGCCTAAAGAGGAGGCTGGTTCCTCCTCTGCTCCACTCAAAGGTACCGAGGTGAAGACATGCATTATTTCACATCACTTACTACACTGCTGGAGGTGTCTTCTCTGGAGTCATATGGGTTATGCTGGCAGAAACAGAATAATCAGTATGAAAAAGTATTCATTGAATGGCTTTGAAACCATTGATCCTGGTTTTTGGAAGTCAGTTTAAGAGGATGTCCCAGTCAATAAATGTACCTGTGCAGATATTGGCAATTATTTGGGTTTCTGCTGCATATCCCAAAAAACTTAGAGACTTTAAACCCACTGGTTTGGTTTTTTTGGTTTTTCTAATAATAGCACTAGGAACCATAGTGCTTATACAAGGTACTCTGGTTTCTGAAGGCAGCAGGTAGATCTGAAATTATCTCATCCCTGTGGGATTATGCACTGTAATACATGTATATACATATGTATTTAATTTTTAACTTTTACTGAGGATGTTTCTGTGCTGTTAACTGTAATGTAAAATACTTGTTCTTGAGTAGGTCTGTGGCCATTGATCTTGGCCCAAGTAATTTTAAAATAAATTGGAGGTGTTTGTATGGATTTCGTGCCTGCATACTATTTGCAAATAAAATGGGAGCCTGAGATTTGTATGTCTAGAAAGTCTTTCTTAAATTATGTTTAAGTTATGATTATAAATTAAAAATCTCTGATTTAATCTGATATGTATTGTCCTGTTTGTAACATTATTTAATAAAATATTTTCAACGTAATGTTCCCTTTTTGGAAACGTGCATCATTTAAATGATTTGGGTCAGCCCTGTGACTATGGCTTCAACTGCAGAATGTGAGGGCTGGGAGAAGACTGGCTAAACGTGGGGCTGTCCCTAATGGAGCTTTCCATGTTTCCACAGCGGTCAAGGACAGAGCAGCCAGCAGATGGAGCTGACTGCTTGGAACTAACACAGCCAGAGCTGGATCCCAAACCAGCATCCTCAGTCCTGAAAGGAAGAAGGCTCAGCAGTGTGTCCCATGAAGCTGTTGTCTGGACCAGCAGTGAGCTCTGAGAGGCGTATTCAGGAGGCAGAGGAGAGCAGAAGGAGAAGCAAGTAGGTGATGTCGTATAGGTAACAGTACAACCCCTCAGCCCATGCAGGTTTTTGCAGCCCTTTCTGCTGGGAAGTTGGCTGAGTGGGGGGGTCGTGGGCTGAGAGGTGAAAGCACAGCTCTGGGGATTAGTGTGACCTGCACTCCCACCCTGGCTGGGGCTGTAGCCAAAGACTCTGCCATGAGCTATTGCTGAGTAGGTATCACTGATGGCCATACACTGCTGTGTGAGGTAGCCCAGGAAGCTGCACTGTGGCTCTCTGTAGCTGCTGCCAGGAGCCAACCCTTGATGACAAGCCATGAGGTGCATTCCTGCCCTAGGCAAGGCTCAAGAGAAGCCATTGGGCCTGTGAACAAGGACTCGTTGAGAGGTGCTGCACCACAGTGGACAGGGCCCATTGCTGCTTATCTCAAACCGATTATGGAACTGAGAGTGGCTGTCAGCACCTCCCCTGCCTTGACAAGGTGGGGCCCGACCCTGTGAGCAGATGTAGGGCAGTAATCCTCAGGTTCCCTGAGGGGACGCAGAGATTAGCCCGGAACGCCCTGCTCTGAATCCCTGCAGGAGCTGTTTTGAGAGCTAAACCACCACATGGATCCCCCAGCCTGTCCTTGTTGTTGTCCTCTATATGCATTGATTGCATGTAGCATCCTCTGGAGAGAGCTGTTTAGGCCAGCATGGCTCCCACAGTGATGCCCAAAGCAGTCCAGCTTCTCCTTTCCTGACCAGAGTTGGTGCTTCTAGCAGTTCTCCCTGGGATTTACAGGGCCTTCATTGCCAGAAAAGAGACCATAAAATTATCCCCTCTCTTTCTCCAAGCCTTCATCCCTTGTGACTTCTAGAGGCAACATGAGTGAGACCACAACTGGGTAGGATTAGTCCTCTACTTCTCCCATATATCCCCTAGGCCAAAGACTCTCTGAAAGGGGTCTCCTTCCTTGCAGTGACTTTCAGGTTACATCTGTCCTCAGCCTGTGCCTGTCCAGAATGCTTGATTCTTTATACCCTCCTGGCACAGTTTTTCCTGCTTCAGGATATGATTTACCAGTTAGGATGGCCTGGTATGTCCAGGAGCTTCAGGAAGTCATTATATTGGAGTGGATGCATCTCTGTTGCAGTGCCTGGGAACACAGCTCTTGTTTGCTCTCTGCATAGTTCCCGTGCTGGCAACAATGGCCCTGGGAATGCTGGCTGCCAGGCAGTCCTTTAGTCACTCCATTGTGTCACTCCTCTGTGTGGTGCAGTGCTGAGCGACCACCGATGGGCCATGGGGTCTTTGCTGGAGGGACTTTCCTTGTTTCATGTTGTTCCACTTCCCTTAAATTCCTCATCTCTCCCCAGGCCCACAGCATTGTTCAGAATGGGATCCGTGCTTTGCCTGGCATCTTATTTTGGAGCGGATGTGTGCTTGTGCTGTGACCTATGGAAGCTGTGAAGGTGACATTAACTGGGAGGCACGCATGTCCTTTCACAGCTCTGTGTGTTTGCTGCTTGGCAGCAAAGGGATGGTTTTTGTGTTATAACTTAACACATTCCTGATGAACTGAGCTACACAGGGTGGCTTTAGCTTTTTGCTTCTGCAGTGTGACAGAAGGGGAGTTAGAAACTTAGAAATTTTGCTAAAAGTCTCTCAAACAGGTAGCTTTTGACTTGAGGTGGATGTTTCTGTGGGCTTTGGTGATATAAGACCTGCACAGATTGAGTTTGTCCCTTCTGTTTTCATAAGCAATTAGCCATCAAACAAACAGTCACTCACCAGGGCCTGGCTGAAGCTGCCTTCCAAAACTCCAGTTTTCAAGGATTGGACTGGACCCAGTATTTGGCCAGCACTTCTGTCGAGAAGATAAGTCACTGCTCCAGGCCCCAGGGGCTGCCATCCTTGCAGCTCCTTGCGTGCCTTGCTGGGGCCTGGCAGTGGGGACTCTGGAGCAGCAGGTCCCGCAGGAGTTGGTGTCGTGATCAAGTCACTAACCTGCTCGGCTCCTGCTCTGGGAGCTGTCAGAGGATATTAGGGCCAGGAGGCCAGACTGTGTCTGTGCAATGCAATGTGCTCAAGCCTCTGTGAGTCTGGTTTCTGTCCTGAGTCTTGCTCCTGTTTGGATTCCTCTGGTTCTTGCAGGGGGCTGGCTCCCTCCTCTTGGCTTGAGCATGCTGCTCATGTGTGGCTGGTGGTGGGTGTTTGGTGAGGGGTCTTCAGTGCATAGACTTAGAGGAGAAAATTGGGTTTGTGAGCTCTTGGTCAAGGACAGAAAAGTCCACAAGATCACTGCTCCCTGGGAGCCATAACTCACATCAAATGAGAAATATAGCCTGGGCTTGCCCATGGACAGGCAGACCAGGCTCCTGTTGGTAGTGGGCAGCAGGAGCTGAGTGGAGGGCAGAAAAGCGGGTACCAGAGCCCAGCTTGTCACATTTGCAGAGTTGTACTATGGAGTTCCCTAGCCTGGTTTATGGCCTCACTTCTGCACACCTGTAGGGAGAAACAATCCAAATTGCAGGTTAGATTTGACTAGTGGAGTCAAAACCTGCTGGATGGTTTTTGCAACTCACCTGGCTCTATTAAATCTCACCTAGAAGGGGGGCAGACTTGGCTAACACAGTTCAGCTGTGGCTCCACAGAAAGAAATGCACAGTCCAGAAAGTGTTTCTGCAGCCGATGATGGCTAATGCTTTTTCCAGCTCAGGAAAGCTGCTGCCAAGAACAGGACAGTGTGCAAAAAGCACAAATGCCTCCTCAGGCAGGCAGCAGATGCCCCCGGGCAGCTGCCAGCAGGTTTTCTACCTGCCTTCCTACTTCAGGAAAGGACATTCCCTGAAAAGCCCAACAGTTGCTTTGACTTTCAGCCTGGGCCAAGTGGGACCTTCATCAGCTTCTCGCCTCGCCAGCTGCCATGAAAGCAGCGATGGCAGGTGTGAAATTGCAGGTGACTTGCTTGCTTCTGGCACTCCAGTGCTGTCATTTTTGGCTTTTGATGGTCTCTGAGTGGGCAGGACGGGGGAATTGCACTGAATTAGTGCCTTCTGGAGCAGGCCTTGGGTCACAGAGCACTTGGGTGAAAGGAAAGGGGTTAAAGGGGATATAGGAAACAGTTTGTTCAGGGCTTATTCCATAAGATGATTTCTGGAAAAGGAAGGGCTGCAATCAGGCAGGATGTATTCACTTTGGGATCTTGGAAAATCAAGCTCAGCCTGGCCCAAACCAAGAGGGAAGTATAGCACAGCCCACAGAGCATGAAACAGTGATGTCCCCACTTTACCTCATCCTGAGTCAGTGCAAACGCTCCAGGATGTAAATGTAAAAATTATTTTTTAACACATGGTGCAATGCTGAGCTCACATGAACAACCAAGATATCCCACAGGGAAATGATACAGTTTGAGCAGAAAGACAGTAGGAATAGTTCTGAAAAGTCCTATGCTAAGATAGAGAGAAAGGGTCCTCTCTGTTCCTCACTGTATTTCCTCCTCCTCCCTTGCCCCCGTTGGTAACAGGGTCCCAAGTTGGGCCCTGGGTGTAAAGCATGGCAGGCTGTTTGCCACAGGCTCTTTCCAGACTGGAGTCTGATCTGGATGGCCCTTGAAGGCATGAGAGGAAAGCTCTGCAGATGAGTTAGGAGCTGCTGGGTCATTGTCAGAGAAAGAAAATCTTTACTACTTCACAACAAATCACATTTGACCGATGCAACCCCTGCAAACAACCAGCTGTGGCTGAGGATCTTTTATTCTGTTAAAGGCACTTGTGGAGAAAAACTCACCTGTGTTAATAACCTGCTGCAGCTAAAGGCAGGGGATTTGGCTGGAGCATTTGACAGAGATGCCATGGAGTCTTGCATGAGGGAGCAGATAGACAGCCCGTGTTCCCCACCGCTCTCCCTGCTTTCCTGCAGGGAAGAACATCTCCTCCTCTGTTTTGCAAGACCCTTCTTGCTTGCCGCTTGTGCTTTGCTCTCTGACTTTTTTTGTGGGTACAGCAATTGGGGTAGGGGTGAAAGACCCTTGCCACAGGCCCTTGGAGGGAAGAGTGGCAGTTTGCATTGTGGGGGTGATTGGTAAAGCCATGGTGAATTTTGCATGCACTGCTCAGACACACAGAGTTTGCTCAGGCTGCTGGTTTATTTGCACTAAAGACAGGCCAGCCATTCACCTGAATGCATTTGTCACTCTGCTCTTTTGAACTGGGACAGCTGAATATTACTGCTGAGGGAGTACAGTTCAATCTGTTCCATTTCCCTTTCCCTCTATTAGCTCTTTCTTCAGGAATATTCAGCATCCTGTTTAATTTGCCATGCCTCTAGAAGGTTTTGCTTCTGTTATAAAACCCCAGCTGACATGCCAGGAGGAGAGCACTGAGAATGTTAAAAAATCCATGCCTTTCCTACAACTGAGTTTAAAGTCTGCATTTTAATTACATACTGGACATAAAAAGTTTCTGGTAAAGTAACTTTAATTACTTATAAACAAGCATCTAGCTCACTAAAGTCATATACGTGCTGAAAAGATGTCAGACACAGATCCCCATTTTCTCCAGACTGCAATTCATTCAGTTTGGATGCATTAAATTCAGAATTGGTTCCTTTAGGTGCTGACAAACGTGTTTCAAGTGCTGCCAGACAAAGCTAATAACACTCACACACTCACAATGGATCAGTCAGTGCTTTTGTAACTT